TGACTTCCCCGCAGGCTTCTCTTAATAGGGTCATCATCTTTTTCGTGCTGAATGGCGGGGAAGTATTATGGCGGGCGGCTTAACCTTTTATTTGAGCCCAGATTAGCTCAATCGCGTTATATTGGCAATGATACGGTGGAGTTCTTAGAACGCGATGACCGTACTCCAGAGCCAGTTCATCGATTTCGTATCGCACATTTGCCGCTTTATTTTCTTTAACTAATTTAATTAGCTCTGGTTTTAGCATCTGCATATTTGCGTCATGCCTTTTGCTTGTAACCAAGCCACCATTTCTTCTTTTTTATTAGCTTGGGTAGGTGGTTTCTGTATTTGAACCGAGTGATAGGAGGCATTATCCATGAATATTACAGAAGGCTCTAGTAGGCTGGGCAAAAGCACGTTCTGGAACCACTCTTTAAATGTAGTGGCATTCATTTCCTCGTGGTAGTCATTTGTGGTTTTTGATTGAAATGCCAGTAACGCGTTCTCCACAAAGCCGTATTTTGCAGAACCTGCGTGGCATATTATCAGACGGGCCCCCTTACCCATTGGTACTTTCGACGTCGACGCTTGTGTATCATCCGTCCAAGAACGGGAAACCGTGTGATTGGCGTTTAGCCATGTCTCGTCAATGAACACGACATTATCCCAGTTATCAATATTTTTTGCTTCTCTCAAAAAACTTATCCGTTTTAAAATTATGTCGTATCGTTCTAATAAAATTTTTCTTTTATCTGTTTTTTTATACGAAAAACCAATATCTTTTAAGATTTTGGTTAAAGCAGTTTTACCCGCGCTAAACAGTCCAGCTTCTCTTATCGATGCCAAAAGCTTCTTCTTGCTGAGATATTCATTTCTGGAATAGTATACGGTATATATGATTTCTGATTGTATCGGCGTCAAAGGTGTCAATATCTGTCACGGGTTTAGTTCTACGTTTCTTCTTCGGAGTACGTAAAATAATATCTTCCGTGCCAGTAGAGCCGAACTTTTCTTTATTAATATTTGCTATCGTTCCTTTGCTAACTCCAAGGGCCTGAGAGACGCGTTCTTGTACTTGTTCGACAGGTAACAGGGGTCCGCCATTTTGCCGCTCCCGCTCAAAGTAATCTTGCAGCTTGATGATTAACTCACGGGCTCCACTTTTCAATGTTTGTCCACGTTTAGGCATTATTATGCACCAAAAGTAAAAAGAACGCAATACAAAACACAATCGAAGTCCGATTTAGCGCCGATGTCAGTTTGAAAAGCAGAAACAGTCCATTAAACGAAAGCCGGGTAATCAAATAAAAACAGATCGAAAACACTTGAAGAACGTGGTCTATGCGCACGAAACGACAACACACGACGGTTTTAGTGTCACAAAATGGCGACCCATAACGCCATTTGGGGTTACCATTTTCAACCTAAATATAAAAATGCTACTTTCTTTCGCGCGTTCGGTTTGGTCGTAGTTTTATTTTTATATTTAATAAAAGTTATCTTATAGTCCATTATTTTCAAATTCTTAAAAAGAAAAACAAAACGTATTATTTTATAAAGTATAACTGTATAAGAACAGATTACGATACTGTTATTGCCTGTTATTGTTAGCACAGCACTACAAATATAAAGCGCTGACATAACCTTGTAATAGAGCAGTATAGATTTAGAAAAATATTGTTTACCAAGTTATTTGACACTCAGTTTGGCATAAAATTATAACATTCATTGATTATTGATATAATAATGTTGTATTAATGCTCATCAATTGTTAAAACGGTAAACTACCAGCAAAAATATTTTTATCGTAACTGCAACGCCATTACGAATTTACGTCGTCAGTTCAATCGCGACGTGTCAGGAACGCATTCTCTGAACGGCCGAACTACAGAGAGCAAAACAAAAAAAAACCTACCAGACATCGAGAAAGGACCATGCAACCTAGAATATGACTTCAACTATACAGACGAAGCTGTTATTGTATGGCTATTAAAATTTATAATAAGCTTCATCCAAGTTTCAAAGCTCTGCCGTTACCATTGTTTAAAAGAAAGTTACATTCCTGGCTTTTCACTAGGTGCTTTTATTCAGGATCCCCTATGAGGCAACCTACGGGGGAGGCCTGATGATGATTGTTACTGCCCCCAGTTACCACGACAAAGGCCGATTGAGCTAGGGCCCACGGTAGCCCAATTCGACGGGTAACAAAGGGGAGGGTCCAACGACCTATGGATAATTAAACTATAAGGCTAACAAAGAAGCAAGCATCACTTACCGATTGGCGGAGGTAGGGTTAACCACAGGGCATCTGTCAGGTGAAAGGTGATGTGCATGTAAGTGGTGTGCAGTAATGTGTTCAATGTGTAACCTGACATCCCCGCTGATCCTGGACAGCAGATCCTAAGGCGCTGCCTCTCTCCAAATGTGGGATCCATCCAAGGGGACGTTCACCAATGGAAAACTTCTACCTCAATTTTCACTATATTAATTTATCAACTTTATTGTACATTGAATTAACTTCAAATCAACCAAATCAACGTTAATCGACATTAAAACAAGTGACACGCTGTACAACTTAAGGACGGTTGGTCAAAGTTCAAAGTCCCAGATTCACTTAGCACAAAACTACTAACTCGTCGATGCAATTAACGGCGTAAAAGTTTCTTTAATCACTCCAAATTCCAAGTAGGCCTCGTGTCACGTAACACGTTCAAAACAGGCAACTAAATTCGAGGCGGTCTAGACGAGATCCAAATATTCAATAGTAAATTCAAAATGGCGCGCACAATTAACACAACCTTTCGGCCTTTCAAGTCCAAACACCGGCCGCGCGCAACCAGTCACAAACAATACTTAAAACGGTTACAGTAAAATTATATAATTTGGCCTTGTTATCACGGAAACTTACAAATTTAAGATAACACAAGGAGGCTCTCAACGTATAATCGACCCGGGCTTCGCGCAAATAAACTCAAGAAATAAGCCTCGTTATACGGTTACGTACAAATATAAGATAACACAAGGAGGCCGCCCTTTCGACACAAAATTATATCAAACTCGCGACCCCTAAATCGACCCGTCAGATTATGTAACGCCCGACGTTCAACTGGCGCGGTTTCACCGATCAAGGCTTTCGGCCGACTGCCACGCTAGCTATGCGCGTACGACGCACCAGCCTCCCCTCCCGCGCTACGCTATCCGTTTCCTCACCCCGCTCGAGGCAATCGGGCGTAGACAGAGAAACCTATAGATAAATTGACGCCTTCTTTCGCATTCGCATACGAAAAAGATAGATTTATGCATACGTCTTGCATAGAAATGAGATAAAGCGGTGTGATTGTTTGTCCCTTTCACCGTGCCGGTTTTTTTGTTTAGCAAACTACAGTTTGCTAAACAACTTTGAAAGCGTAGCGATTTAAGGAGTTTACAAGTTGGTTTAAGTGAGAAAAAAGGGTTTTGTGAGCCTAAGATTGGTGAATCTTGTTCAGTTCAGTTCTTAGAACAATTAAATTTTTTATCTAAATGTGTTTAAAAGTCATAAAGATTATTGTATAACCTAAAAATTCGTTATCGTCCTTTCTCACTCGAGGCCACGCCGATCATTAGTCTATAGGTTTCTGTGTCTACGCAATCGGGCGTAAACAATGATGTTTGGGCAATAAAATATTTCGAAGATAACCGTCCGCCAAAACGCGTCGCAGCAGCGCTTTAGACTGTTTGCTTCATAACGACTTAGTATTGCAATTAACGATATTGTCCATTTTCACACACAACAAAAACTAACAAAAGTTTAGGCGTTTTGAATCACGAAACCTTTAATTAGTTTGCTAAAAATTTTATTAGAAAACGTCACGATCGTCTAAAATTAGTGGTTGTTAAAAAAAAATAAAAGCTATAGAATCTATGAACATACAGCCTAATCTGACGTTTGTTTTGTTCACAATAATTCTTCACAGTACGCTGATGCGTCACATTATCATGTTGTAAGATATTTTGAAGATAGCCACAATCCGTCAGTGGTCAAGTTCCCTCCAAAACTCTCGACATCATCGAATCTACGACTAATTAAAGGTTTCGTGATTCAAAGCGCCTAAAACTTTTGTTAGTTTTTGTTGTGTATGTGAGAACGGACAATACCGTTAATGGCAATACTAAGTAGTTATACGAAGGTGGCTACGTCCACCATTATACGAAGGTGGCTACGTCCACCATTATACGAAGGTGGCTATTTTAATTCGAATAAACGCCCTGAGCGTAAACGGCTATCCGAGGTTTCACTTACCTTTCGACAAGTCGTCTGTCAATGCCATAAAATACTGAGTATGAGCAAATTATTATTATGCAGCAGAAAGATAAGACCCGTGTGGAACTCTGGCGTTAGTCGCCATGGGATTGGATGTTGTTACCAAAAATGCCTGGCTACCAGTTGGTACCAGAAATACTGAATGCTAAATCAACCTACTACAGAGGCATCTTTACCTACTCGTGCGCGATATAAAACCGGAATCTGAAAAATTCGGAAGCAAACTAAGATTCATGTGGAAACCAAACATCATCATCAGGCCTCCTCCGTAGGTTGCCACATAGGGGATCCATACGGCCAAGATGCTGCTGCCCATCTTCTGGTTCAGTTTCCCTTTGTCTTATCATACCTTTGTCTTACCACACCCACTGGACGATTATCGGGTAGTGAATTCTCTTGGGTCTCTACAATATAGCTAAACAAATAATTAATAATTTTAAACAAACGATATTTCTGGGCATAATTTTACAGAGAAGTTAATCTAGATATTAAGAACATAAAGAAATTAGTTTATAGAAATCAACAAAAAAAAAATTAAACTCTCAATATAAAATGATCATGGGCGGCGGTAGTCACTTAACATCAGGTGAGCCGCATGCTCGTTTGCGTTTTCGTTTCTTCTATAAAAAAAAATATAAAACTCGAATTGGATCATAAAAAATATTCCACAAAATGGTCTCATTCATAAGTAAAGTTTACAGTCTACTTAAATTACCTTTTGTATGTATTGTTCGACTTTTTGAAATTCCTTATACTGGTTCATAAACTTTGTTCTATTTTTCTCTTCTACTAATATCACAAAGGCAGATTCCGGGTTCCTTGCGCGACCTTAAACAAATAAAATGAAAAAACTAAAACAGTTCCATACTGTTTACTCTCGTAATGCGGATCTATAATATTATTATTTATAGATTTTTGTCAAGTATGCACATGCATAATAGGAAAATTATTTAAAATGCAAAAATTCTACTGGCGGTCTAATACCGCCATCTATCGGATGCCGTAAGATCTACCTGGAATTTCTCATAGTCGCCTTTTATGAAACCTATGGGAAGAAATGGGAAGATGGATTTCCTAACGCCGTCGTTACGCGGCATATTATACAATATGTATCATACCGTCCATTCTATGGAGTGTAAAAGTAAGGAGTACCAACTCCTATAGTAGAATAGTTGACAAAGTGGCCATCTGTAAGCAGTAAATAACAGCTCAAAAACTCTCCACAACAGCGCTGGAGTAGCTACTGGGATGAAATGAACTTAACAGTTGTTGACGGTTTAAGTGTGCTGCTAAACCGCCCAGTAGCTCTAAAATCTAAAATAATTTTATTTAGTAAATATAACCTCGAAATAGTCGTCTATCCCAGTAATATTTTTTGGTGCTTTTTTTAAAATTTACCCCGTAGTTATAGTGGCGCCACCCTTATTTAACTGTTTTCTATGGACACTTTTTAATACACAGTTTGTACTCCTTACTTCTACGCTCCATAGTCCATTCCATTCATCCATTACAGCCTATAAAATCCACTGCTGAGCACAGACCTCATAGGGGACCATTTGCCATAGTTAACACGCTGAGCAGGCAGGTTGGCATCCGCAATTGTTTTTTTTAAATTTTACTTAGTTATCAAGAAGATGCTGCTCCATTTTCAGACTTTTACGACACTAACAGATATTAGACAGATAGATATTCGATATGGAGAAGTAGATATCCTTACACTGCCACTACACAGTAAAGTCATATGCTCCATTTTATTACTAAATATTATTTAACTAAGCGTAACTTAAAAAAAATCGATACCTTTGCTTTGAATGTACGATCTGTATTCTAAAGGTGGATCGAATCGCAACACCAAAAGACATTGAGGAATGTCAATGCCCTCTTCTATAACACTTGTAGATATAAGACAGTTGAGATCTCTAAAACGACAGAATTATATGAATTCAAATTCTAAAAAAAATTATATAAAAAATCAAAATCAGTCATCACTTACTAGTGATGACTGATTTTGATCACATAAACACAGACATTTCCTATGCTAACAATATTGTTTTTTTATGGGACAAGGGTGATAAACAAGCACACAGTCCACCTGATAGCAAGTGGTTGCTGTGGCCCATAGACATCTAAATCTATCCTCGATTACAAATCAAAATGCAGATGCGTTGTCTCCCGTGAGGATTAAATGGAATGCCTCGTTTCCACTAAAATTGGTCTTTGGTTCTCTACACTCATCATACGAAACGCAGCAACGTTCAGCTTCTACATTATGCTGGTATTTTGTGAGAGTGTGGCCCTTCTCCGGTCGAGCCATCCCATTTGCACTACAACTATAGGATAGTTAGTTAATATAGCTGCAGCATGGCTCTAGCATGTAAAATACTTTTTAAATCAACATTTATTTACTATAATTTTCGTTGTTTTCCTGGGTTAACTGGCAGGGAATGTCATAATATAGGGCTGGGTCTGCCCAATGTAAACTTCTTTAGTGTTAATATTTAAGAATAGAATTATAGAATAAATAAAAAATAAACATAAATATAAGTAATAAAAAATTAACATACTATATTTTCTTAAAATTCATGAAAAACTTGACAAACATGACATAAAAAGGTAATAATCATACAACTTGCCTCAAATAATAGAAATACCTTATGTTCATTTAATTAATACAATTCTAACCGAATTTCTGAGAGGCAACTGGGTAAATACTTCCAGTAATTGAAACTGAAGCCATTCAACAGCTTCGAAGGTGATATATGCAAATTTATAAAGTATATCTCTATAATTTGAGAGACCTACATATAGCCGTGATATTTTACAGGTTGATGATAGTCATTAGCTAGAAGTAATCGAAATATAATCAGGAAAAGTTGAAATGAGATTAAATAATAAATACCTACTTAGAATCATTCTACGTGGCAGAGACACGCGACATCGTGAATCGTGCGACTTAGACGGGAACGGGGCACGTTTTTTTCAATACAAGAGTAAAATAGTAGCAAAATTCTGCTGTTTTGTAAAGTAGTAGCGCAATGCTATGTTATAGAATGTTATAAAATAGAATAACGAAAGCCGGAGACCCATTTTACTGAAAACGATTTCTTTCCTAGACCCAGGAAATAAAACCCAGGAAATATAGTTGTTGTGTACTTGTTTAGACGCCATGTCATCACTTACCATCAGCTGGGCTGTGTGCAGTGTGCACGTTTATCATTCCTATCCTTGCTTATATAAAAAAAACAACATAAAAGTGTTAAAAACTTACTTGTTAGCAAACTTTAAAAGCCCTTGCTGACTTTGCTTCTTTGTAAAATATTGCTCTCTTGTGTTGTTATATGGATTTACATTAAAGCCTACGATAAAATCGTGTTTCAAAAAGCCAAATGTCTGAGGATTTACATTAATGACATCCTTTAGTAAGTTAAACAAGACCTTCGCAGTAAATCTTTTTTTAGTGAAAATAATTGCAGATAATGGTTTTCTTGAGAGGTTTACTTTCAATGGAGCTGAAACAATATTATTATAATAACTTTAATTATGTGAAGATCTCGAAGTATATATATATTGTATCAGCAGTACAGTACACACAGTACGAAAAAACACTTAGAGTATTTTTATTACCACATATTGTAATGTTTGAATGTCTATATGAGTTTTCTGGTTCTATTCATAATTCAACATGACTATGTCATGACTCATGACAAATGTTGATCAAACATGACACCCATATATTTTTATTGGTCACTCTTTTTTATTCATTACACGTATAGGTCATAGTTGAAATTTTATCGCATTGGTATGGTACTTAATGATACATAATACATAGTTACTATTTTGTACATTAAATGTTAAGAAATTACTATTAAACCTTTCTACCAGCCTTAAGTATAAATAGAACTTTGACAATTGTCCATCGCACTGGAATATATACTAAGGCAAAACTTGCTCTGAAGATTTTCACCAGATAGGGAAGAAGGATGTCAATACCCATCTGCAGTTGGATGAGAATTATTCCATCGTCCCCGCTTGTTTTAAATGGTTTAAAGAAGTCAACAGCCCGTTGCACCATGTTTGGCCTTATTATCTTTGCAGCCCTACATCAGTCCTGATTACAAGGTCTTCGTAGGGCTCTGAAAGAATTTAAGGCTGAGGTCTTGAGTGACCCTGGGAAATGGGTTGACGCTAGTAACTCCAATGTTTCTGTTTCACTATTAGTGAAGTTACCATCAGGCTTTTTAAGAAGCCCGATCTGGTTAGGCTTTCGATAGCATTTTGTGTAGTCTTGCACTGCGAGGCAAAATGGATGAGGCCTATGTTCAGCAGTGAAATTTTGATTGGCTATAATGGTAGTGGTAAATCTGGCTAACGATCTATTTAAAAGTAAGCGGCAAATGCAGACCATGGACACCTGCAACTAACTTGCATAAGTTATAGATGCGCTGTCACCCCTAAATACTAAGGTGGAATGCTCTACACACAGGCTGTCTTATCCTTCAAACCCAAAATTTTAAAGTGTGTAACACATAAAAGGATGGAAACTACCAACCCATATAAACAGAAAAGGTTAGGCTATTACCAATTAAAAAAGTAAAAGAATTTGATGGGGAATTGAATAGCTGCCAGTTATAAATCTATGTTTAAAGTCAAGCAATGATAGCTTAGGTGTTAATAACAGCTAAGCAATTGCCTTTAAATTTAATAGAAAATGTAAGCAAGCCGAGGTCGGTTTCCAGCGGTAATAATTACCATATGGTCAGCTGTAAGAGACACATAGTAAGGAAACCTGCGTAATATAAGTTGTACAACCTGCTGTTGAGTAATTAATAGTGTTGTATATGCCTATTGCTACAAATAGTAATAATTATGATTTCCTAACAACCATATTATACAATCTATTTTGCTGTTTTTAAAATTTACTACAATTATATTTAGAATTATCCATACCATCTGTTTGAAAGACATTAGGATTGTATTCATTTAATATATTCAGCAACTGATTGACTTTGTCCGATGAGTGTTTGACGATTCTCTCATATCCAGTTTCGTGTCCCATCGATTTTATTAAAACCATTCTTACTCTGGAAAAAATATATATATTATTTATTTGTATAAGAAAGATATAATGCCATCAAAAATAAATAACTTGTCTCGTAACTTAGTTCTTCTAATCTAATCTAAAAAATCGTAAAAAATTGTGAGATCCATGTAATACCAAGTCGGTCAATTTATTTAGTCCCTGCTTAAAGGTCCTTCTGTCTTAAGTTATTACGTACATAACAACATCTTGTTGTTACCATATCAATATTAAAAATCTTTTATGTTTTAAATAAATACATTGACTTGGGCCATCGCATAAAAACACAATGTATCTCATAAGTAATACATATTATATTAAATTCAATTGCTTAGTGCGATTGCCAAGTCAATCTATTTATGCTATTGCTGCTAATATGTAGAGGAGCACTGTAGACCAGCTGGGAATTGCCATCATATATGACCAGTTCCAGGTTTCTATTTCCTGAATATCTTCAACCTTGTTCATAAGTTCATGGACACTATCTAGTGAGATGTCTTCCAGATGTATCTCGTACTGGACTTCTTCCTGGTGTATTAGGTTCTCGTTGGGTAGAAAGATGACTTCGTCCATAGAGATGCTGCTAGTGTGTGTTCTTATCATTGTATTCATGATATTAACTTGACAGTCCTGTGTTAGGTTGATGAAGAATGTTCCTGATAGTTTCCTATACTCTGTTTTCTGTCCACATTGGGTTTTTATATTTTCTGAATCCGTTGATATTACCAACCACTTATTTTCTTTAATCTTCTACAATTTTCCTCGCTTCAGATTCATGCGTGCACGAGTGCTGTTACCGTCTTTATGCTTGATGAGTGAGATGGTGCAAACTTCAGATTTCTCTATGGCTCCAGTATCCAGTGATTTGCAGAGCCAGGTGTCGTCTGACAGCTTCTTGCAATCTTCTTCCAGATAGGCGTACTCATCGCTTCCAAGTGCGAGGAATTTGGATTTGGGTATAATGGTTAGGTTCAGGTTGTTTGGCAAGGAATATATATGTATATAATCATATAATTTAAGTTGGAGGAATGGAATTTCTAATATAAATGTTAAATAATGTCCTATGCTATAGGCTTTAACGCTAATAGACTTTTCTATCTCATGAATACTTTCAATACTAATCTCCTCGACTGGATATAATGAAAAGTTATTCTGCAAATTACTAAGTACCGAAATTAAATTACGTGGGCTTATAATACTAGGGTGCATTATACCTAATTGCAAGAATGCCATAGGATCTTCTAGCAGTATTAACTTATCTAAAATAATCTGTAAACTAAAACCTATTTGAACGTATATCTCTAAAAAGTGCAGCTGGTTTCATACTGTATCGGAATTAATCGCAATATTTTTCAGTATAGAAGTTAATCTCTTTTGGTTATCTTGCTTAGTTGTTTCGAAAATTCCTTTATGGTATTTTCAGCCAAAGATAGCGTTAGCTTCTGTGACTTTTGGGTTTTATGGACCGAATTACGTATTTGGTTTATTTCGACTTCAAATCGAATAGCGTCTTCGTTATCTAAATTTCCAGTTATTAATTTCACTACGGAACCTAGTCAAACAAAAATAATTAATTCAAACAAAATGTAAAATTACAAAAGAAGTAAGTGATGCGTGGATGGTGTCAGACTGCAAGACAGTTCCATTGTCTCCACGATGATAGTTTTCGAAGCGCAAGCATTCCACATATGTCCATTGTTATGTGTAACTGCTATGTCAGCACGATTCCAGGGTTACGACACGTTAACTACGGCCGTGCCGCTTTTTTGCTCGACTTGGCGGGGGCACTGCCGTGCCTCCAAATTTTATTTTAGAACCACTATAGTGTAAAAATTACTTCATTTAATACACACCATGTAAGTTGACAATGAACATATCAATCATTTCATTCTAAAGATGTTGTGGGATGTAATTTATTGCATATTACAGAACTATCAGAATTACATATCTCATGGCCAAATCGGCGATGGGGGGCAGACTCAAGGGTGCAGACGTCTAATACTTTGAACTATAATTGGCAATCTGCTTACTCAGTCGGCCGTTTGAGGCAAAATGCTTTCTATAATGGAGATGCCATGGCCAGAAGTGGACTATTATGGATGGAAGAAAAAGAATTTATTAACACACTACACTGTATAATAATAGCTTCTTGAATTACTCATCATTTTTTTAATATCTTGTTATTTAAGGTTAGAGACTTATTTGAGAGAAGTTACAAAATTTGAATATTAGATAAATTCTATAAATTTGCAATTTGTATGCATTAAATATGTAACATGACGTAATTTTATAAAGACCGTATCTTCTCTATCAATCCGCAAAAATCCACAGCCGGATACAGGCTTCATCTGTTTTAAAGGGGATTAGCTTTTTTTCTCATAAATATTAATTATACAGGTGTAAGTGTAAACACCGTTGTCACTAAAACCATAGGCTTTAATATAAGAATATTTATCCAAATTTTAAAAAACGCTACTTTCCTTCATAAAATTTTAAAAGTTTCTGTCCGACACCGTCCGTAAATTCATGGATACTCTATGCGCCCGAGTGAAGTAATCACTGTAAAGATCACCGCCCGCCCACACAACATTCCAATAAAAACACAATAGGTACACATAACCTGTGATGTAACTTTTGCTTCATACTTTCATCCTGGCTTAGGACAGGCAAAAATTCCTACCCTTTGTGTATTTTTTTTTTTGAAAAATTGAGATTTTACTAAAAAAATGTTATTTTTCATTGAATTTACGTTCTATAAGTGAAAACAAACCACTGGTTTCAAGGATGACGGTTTTTACACTAACATCCTGTATAATATAATTCTAGAAGGTTTGCAATGTATAGATTATTTTTATAGTCGAAATGTATATATTGGATCACAAAACAAAATATCTAGTTGAAACATATTATTTTCTTGTATCTGAGAAACCATATTTCAAATAGATATACCTGATCAATTGAATTGTTAAGAAATATTGTTTTAAATAAAAATCCGACTTCAGTTTCATTGTCTGTGATAATGAAATAATTTTGGCGCTAAGACATAGCATATAGATTAATATAAACTGCTACTTCAGAAGATATTGTGTGAGTATTATTATCTTCTTTTTGGTTCTTTAAAGTCGGCTTTTACTTTTTATTAGTTTGTTTAAAAAAAAAACTTTCCTATTTCTACATAATTAGAGGTAGCATTGAAAGAAACCTGGAGAATAAATATAAACTAATTAATAAAAAAATTATCACTAAGATCCTCTCACAAATGATGAAGATATCGCAACATACATACGTAAAGCATACAGTTGAAATGCTTACTTCCTACTTTTTTGAAGTCGACTAAAGCAATATTAATATTAATAGAAAATAAATAAAAACACTCACTCAACTAAATGTGTAATCGTTAATTTGTATAACAATTCTTCTTCTTGACACAAAGCTTTACGCTTCAACTGCTCTAAAAGAATTATGTAAGCAAGAATGCTTATGTTGGCACCATAAATTCCCAATTCATCTATAAATTCAATTATAGATATTATCATGTTCTTTACTAGTTTAACAATCTGTAAAAAGAGTTAAGATAAGTTAAATATTCCACTCTCCGCTCCCCCTCCCCAAATACTTCCAGTTAATAGCCGTGGCTTAGGCACTGACAGCAATAACAAAGAGGCGAGGAATCCACGTGGGCTAGCCGGAGGTAGCAGCTTCAAATGGGCATGGCGGATTGCAGATATGTGCAAAAGCCAATCGAAATGCAACAAAGGTGGAAAACCATAGGGTTTTGTTTGTGTGAATCCGACATAATACGTCATTGCCACCACAAGGCGGCCAATACGGACACGTAGGCATTTCCCCATGATAAAAGGTATTTGCTCAACCGCAAATTATTGTTTGTACAATATATACATATACATGTGTGACTGTCTCGTTGGTCTAGTGGTTGTAGCAGCGCGACTGCTGATCATGAGGTCCTGGGTTCGAATCCCGGGTCGGGCCAAAAAAGTCAATTATTAAGTTTTTCATTAAGAAATTCTCAGTAGCTGCCCGGAGTCAGGAAGTTGGCGGTGTCTCACCCCCGTGCCTCGGAAAGTACGTAAAGCCGTTGGTACTGCGCCTGATCTCTTTCCGGTCGTCGGTTTATCGTCCCGTCGGATTATGAGAGTGAGGCAATAGAGAGTGCAGTTTTGCTTGCGCATACACTTAGGCACTATAATCCTATCCTGGGCCGATGGCTAGTCTCCGTTGAGGCTGGCCGCCGTGGCCGAAATTCGGTCTGGAGGACACATACACATGTAATACAATCATACATTATGCCCATAAACTGATCAAAAATATTTTCAAAATAGGAAAAATTACACTCTTAACTGAAAAATGGACTATTTTAGAAATGTCTAACTTTAAGTTATCTTAGCTAAATTTATATTATATAGACTTATTTTCGAACTTTAATATCTATAAGAAACTGCACGCTCAAGAAACAACGTAAAAAAAAGAAAGAGAAGAAAACAAATAAGGACGACGCTCTCGGTTGCGTATTATTGCCTTTCTTTTTTATTTTCATTTTTGACTACTCAATATTTTAATAGCGTTTTAAGTAACACAAACTCACACTAAACGTACAATTTTGCACAAAACACGTCACTTATGGATATGAATGAAACAGAAACTTTTTCATTCGATATAGATTACAAGTAATACTTATTGAGTCATTTTTTCCATTAAGACTGGTTCTAAAAAAAACCTCTGTCCTGGGAAGAACCAGCAAGAAACCCAGCGTGACTATTTTTTTTTAAATAAGAGCTTACAATCATGTATGTTACAATTAACAACACAAAACAAATTAGAAATACCTTGGTAGCGATCACCCTTTCCAGGGGTTATTATCCTTTATAAATTCCTTAATATTATAAGTACCTGGTTGACCGCGCTTTGCTTGGTATTTTTCGCTCGATTTTTTTTAATTCGTGTTTTTTGGAAATTAAATTTAGATACAAATTACATACTGATGAAATATAAATAATATTTTTTGATCTTAGCGACATAACAGGAAAAACGGAACTGGTTATTTGAATAAAAAATCATGAGTGCAATTATTTTAATTTACATTTTCGTGTTTTTAAAAAATAATAAAAAAAGGGCTCGAAAAAATAGATTTTCTCAAAAAAGAAAGGAACTTTTTTATCAAAAAAGCCGGTCGGTCAGTCTGGGCTCGAACCGGGGTTTTAAGATTCTGTGACCGACCATTATACCAATTAAGCTATTTATAATCACTAACAATCTGTCAAAATTTACCTTCTTATTCTAACGATATTGTAGCAGTTTTTCATTGCCTAAAAACACGGACAAAAAGACATTTTCTAAAAATAAATCCTAGCTAGATCGATTTATTATCCCCGAAACTCCCTGGACACTAAATTTTATGAAAATCGTTGGAGCCGTTTCCGAGATTCCGATTATATATATATATATATATATATATATATATATATATACAAGAATTGCTCGTTTAATAGTATTAGTATAACCCTTTTTATACAAACTTAGTTTAATAAAGTTTTTGAACTTTGTGTATGTAAAATGTAGTATATTTTCTGGGATTTTGTTGTAAAAGCGTATACATCGCCCCAAGAATGAATTACTGACTCGGTGGAGTCGAGTAACTGGTACTATTAGCTTGTGTCTGTGCCTAGTATTTACAGAATGAATATCAATTATTTTTACAAAACTACTTTTATTTTTGTACATACATTACATTTTCATAAATGTATTGAGAAGCCAGAGTTAATATATTAAGTTCCTTAAATTTTTGTCTGAGCAGCTCTCTAGGTTTTAAATCATATATTGCTCTAATGGCACTCTTCTGTACAACAAATATAATTTCAGTGCAGTCGCGTGTCCCCATAGCAAAATACTATACAACATTTTATATAGTATCACCATCCAATCGAGTTTGAAGTTTTATTGAAGTCATGATAGTCACCAATGCGGGTTCTGTCATAGTCCAAGTGTATAAGCACAAGGACCTTGTGCTTATTTGTGCACGCAACTATTTATTCATTCCGAATCCAAGGAAGGTTAATTACTCTTTTAACAATAATTGATTCTTATTACTTCAATACAAACGAACCTTTTTAGGATCATTCGTGATGTCCTGTTGTCCTTTCTTCAATTTGACGTCGTGCGTGTACGCCACTTGTGGCAACTTAACAGAAAGAACAAGACTCTGAAGTTCCTGGAGAAGTATGGTAGCCTCTTCAGCAGCGCTAGTTTTCCGATATGTGCTATAAAACTCTACCAACTCATGGGGATTTGTTGAATAACTGAAAATAAAATGTATTAAAAATTTAAAGTCAAAATGAATGATTGACCATAATAATAGTTTGGTCTTTTTATAATAAGCCACATTGTCGCGATAAGGGAAAAACTTTCGTTGTTGCGACACGCCTGGACATGCAATTCAAATAATAGAAATGCAAGAACTAATTATTTACCGACATATAAGTACAACGTAATCGCGTCTTCCATTATCACATGTCTAGCTGAATTATCGCAAGATTTTAAACTGCAGTTTTTTAACAATATATGGGCAGTACCATTGTCACAGATCAAACACAGTTTTATTGCGATATCGCGATCCGCACCTTTGCGCGACAATATGACCTTAGCATATCTGTAACACTAAAGACCGATTTACACTTCGACAAGTACAGTAGCGAGTTTACAGGGCAGTTGACAGTAAACGGTTAAGTGGGCAGTAGCGTTCAAACAATGTCTTCGTGGCGAGTTTAGTTAAGGACATTAGTACAAAAGTTTTCTGGTTTTCGTTTAAGATGGTTCTAGGATTTCGTCAAGAATTAAATGATCCAGTCAGAGAAGTATTAATGGTTGTTGTTAAAGAAGTTTTCAAGAATTTTCATGAGTGCAGCATCTCAAGCAGATTTAATTTTACAATATGAACTTCTACTATTATATAAACATTCGTTTTCTAAATACTCCTGTACATATTTATATGTGATATCTTCCATCCATTTTATTATTAAAACACAATATAAATATTATAAATATTCAATAAACAGTATCGTACCTTAGTGGCGAGTTTAATTATAAAAGTACAATTGTACGTTTTGGCGCACAAACGTTGCGTCTTGTCGACTTATGCACTGAACTAAACTCGCTCGTTTACACAAAGACGTCGAGTTTAGTTGTGGGTGCCGGGAGACGCGCGGGAGGACAGAACTTCGCACTTAAATCGCCGAAAATAGCTCGGCCGGCTATCCCGTTCAACTTAATCGTTAACTTGCTACTTAACTCGCTTATTGCCGTTCAAACGAGGTTCAAACTTAACTCGCCAGGTTCGCAAGTTAACTCGCTACTGTACTTGTCGAAGCGTAAATCAGTCTTTAGCGACAACTCGTCTTGACCATTTTCAATAAAAGGACAGCCAAACAGTGATAATGATGATATTTCAATAATGTTCAATAATATTTTCAAATGAATAAGCAATAATTTCTCTACTGTCAACAGCTTATGGAATTTACAGCTGGACATGGTCTTTAAAAGAATGCACCATTAGTACACATATATCTTGAATGAGTTGTTCGTACAGAACAGTATGAGCAGCGATTACCTGACTGTTGCCTCTGAGGTCTATGGAGGAGGCATATATTCAGCACTGGATTTTGATAGGCTGTAATGGTAACAGTAACATTCAGAGTAGTTAACTTTCAGTTATTAATCGTGACATATTCGTGAATACGCATCCGTATTCCACCGCGCCGTTTTATACCTTATAAAAAGGAGAAGACTCAGAAAGAAGAAATTTATACATGGTTGGATGGAAAAATTAATCTCAAGCATCGCCATTTTTATCTTTAAAATTCAAAATACGGAATAATGCATTATTTGAAGGGATTTTACTGCGTTCGTACACATTCGTAAGGGTCGGTCAGTAGGTAAAAACGTTGTCGCCCATAAATCACATTCAATTTGGGATAATTTCAAATAAAGAGGTCTTATTTTCTCGTATTTTCAAAAACTGCGATAACGGTATATCATTATTTATATATTCGAACTTAAGTTTAAAATTTAGCTGCTCTTTTAAAAATAACCCTGTATATAAATGAAAAGAATAATTAATTTAAAATATGTTTAAATACTCTTTTAATTATCAATACTAGTTTTTTAGTAATTACTAATAATAAATAGTTACATTTTTTAATGAATAAACGACTTATGATTGGTTGTGACGTCATTATATACTTTGAGGCTGAGTCTCAGAGTAATTAACCATAGGGAGTCCTAAAAGAGGAAAAAAATTCTTATAGCTGAAGTCTTTATACATATGACGTTTAACATAGTACAAAATAAGATAGCTATATTATTCTTGCCTTCTTTTTTTTTACAAGGTTGTTGCAGTTTTTCCATTCCATAGACACTCCCCAATGATGTGCCATTAGCAAAACAAAAAATATTGTCTATAAATTCATTTAGTCTATGACGTAGTATTAATCCGATTCGTAATACTTATTTATATCAATGAAAGTATATGTAAGCCTCATTTGATATCTTACCACAAAAAAGTAGTGGAATAATGTGGAATTTCATACGATCGTTGTATAATTAAAATACCGTGAAAAGATCATTATGAAACCTACTTAAATTCAGCCAGGGTTTCACAACGAATAATAACTGTATTTGTTTAATCGACACTGAGATTGTGTCACGGAACGTACACAGGGGGAACTTCTAAATTTTTTACAAAATAAGGGTGCCAAACGAGCACACAGCAAGTGGATAAGTGATGGTGGATCCGTTAGCATATTATACAATTGGGATTACTAACGGGAAAAACGCGCTCATGTAGCGTGTGCCTGTCAGGACTTAGTATTGATACCTCCCTAATTATTAGTTTTTAAAATTTGCGAAATGAATATTTGAAATTTAATATAATAATCATCACTTGATGACTTTTATATTAATAATAAGTCTAGTCCTAATATAATAATGTCTATTTTTAATAATATTTTTAGGCATATAAAGTAATCAAAATAAATAACTAAACAAAAACGAGTATATCGGTGTCGATTGTTGCTAACATTGTGAAGGAAATCACTATAGCTTAAAGACGTCATGTATTGTAAAGTAACGTCACACATAATACTACTACAATAGGGGTATGTTCCGAAACGTTTTCAGTATACTGCCCAATACAAACGACCTCATCAATTGACACTATATTGTACTGGCGTGTCGCCGCCATATTGCGTCGGATATCCGGCCACAATAAAACAGTTTTTAATTGTGTGTGCGCTGAATGAAGCATGCCAGAATTTGTTTTTATTTATTCAAATACAAAAATAAATAGAATAATTGCTCCTAAATCTCCATTAGGATATAACGATTTTTTGAGCAAAAATGACAAAATAATCGCCAACACTTTTCCAATATGGCGTAAATGTATGACGTCATATACTGTCCTATGTTTTGGAACGAATCACCAGTATAGCGTCGATTCATGACGTCATTTGCATTGGACAGTACACTGGGTTCTATTTTGGAACATACCCTAGGAACGTCATTTTTTTTATTAAATCAGAATATACGGGTGTACTTTCTGTCATATTTGCCATAATATAAAGATACCACTTGACACTTCTATTTCCACATGCATGAATACGCATAATATCTTTCAATAGATTTGTCTCTTTTTACCTTAATAGAAAATTAAATTAGAAAGAGTAAGACAACTATAATGACTTAATTTATGTAGAATGATAGGTTCTCTCTATGCATATGTATGTATGTAATTAACCTAAGCTGTGAGCCAATCGCAATCATTCATAGTAGTTTCTATATTCGGATTACCACGTGTCGTAACAAAACATATAATATGTAACCTGTATTATGCAATGCCATTTTTTTAATTTTGACAATGTAAACATGAGTGTTATATCATAGAATTGCACCCATAGAATTGCACCATGCGGTGGCGTTACTACAGCGATATAATGACGTCACTGGTGTTAGAATTTAAATTGTAAAATTACATGAAAAATCAATTGTATTTTTCTTTATAATTTTTAGTAAACTTACAAAAAAATTTGTAAACATGCAACTTCGCTATTAATAATGAATAACTTATGAAACAACTATCACATAACTTCATGCCCAAGCTTGATTGACAGGGGATGCTTGTCTCTAGGAAGTAGTATACATAGTATGATAGTACTCTTTGTAACTACCCACATTTTTACTATGAGCAAATTCAATTAACCTCGTAAGGTAATATGCAAAGTAAATAAATGCATTACGTTAATACTTCTCCGAGTTCGTTTACTGTAGCAATCGTTGCGTGAAAAGTAGTTTCCAATTGACGTAACGTTTCCTCAACTTTGGGCAGATTTACATTGGCGTTAAGAAGTGTTGCTGTCAATCCTGTAACAAAAGCTCGCCTTAAATTTCGTATCATTTAGGCCGCAAAAGAAAATTTAATAATCAGGCTGATAAATAGACAAATATATCATTCTACAATAAATAAAAAATAGAGGAATATAGGTAACATAAGATGCAGGAGTGCATACGCTTGAATTTGAATTTGGTCTTTTATTTAAAAGGAAAGAAGACAAAAAAAAGGATCAATAAAAGCCCAGTAGGTAAAACACCCTCATTATATCAGAGTACCCGGATGACCGAGCTTTGCTCGTTTTTTTTTTTAAATTACGTTTAGCTACAAATTACATACCGATGAATAATATTTTTTGATCTTATTGACATAATAGAAAAAACTTAACTGGTTATTTGAATAAAAAATCATGAGTGCAATTAGTTTAATTAAAATTTTCGTATTTTTAAAAAATACTTAAAAAAAGGGGTCGAAATTATAGATTTTCTCACAAAAGAAGGGAACTTGAAAAAAAAGGAAAAAAATTCGTAGCGAAGACAGGACGCGAACTAAGGCGACCGCTCGATATCCACTTGAGCTATTACGATCATCAACACAATGTCAAAATTTACCTTATAACATAGTACTGTACTTATTTCAATAGAGATGTCTGAATGCTCGGGTTGTTTTAATTATATAAGTATGACAAACGAGCACACAGTCCACCTGATGATAAGTGGTTGCTGTGGCCCATAGACATCTACATCTATCTCGAATCGAATTAAAATGCAGATGCATTGTCACCCGTGAGGACTAAGACGTAATACCTCGTTTCTTGTTAATTGGGTATTCGTTTCTCTACACTCACCAAACACAGCAGCGTTGAGCTGCTATTTTACGTTGGTATTCTGTTAGAGCGTGGTCCTTCCCGGGTCGAGCCGACCCATTCGTGCTACAATTTTACTTCTAATATAGCTGCAGTATACCACGTGAGAAAATCGGGTTCCTATAATTATTAAAACTAAATCCCACCCCACAGAGTCTAGATACTAGAGTAACTAGATACTGTATGTTCATTTTGCGTAGATTTAATCAAAATTTTTTATTTAAAATCTGTATTAACATAACATCAGGATGTTGAACACCTCTGTCTCTTTTGATCATGGGTGCTGCAAAGCACAAATGAAACGTTCGAGATATAAAAAATAAAATATAATTAGATAATATTCGACAAAATTCGTAAAAAAACCAAGCATACCACAGAGTCTAGATACTAGAGTAACTAGATACTGTATGTTCATTTTGCGTAGTATTAATCAAAAAATTTTATTTAAAATCTGTATTAACATATCATGTTGAACACCTCTGTCTCTTTTGATCATGGGTGCTGCAAAGCACAAATGAAACGTTGAAGATATAAAAAATAAAATATAATTAAATAATATTCGACAAAATTCGTAAAAAAACCAAGGATACCACAGACTCTAGATGCTAGAGTAACTAGATACTGTATGTTCATTTTGCGTAGATTTAATCAAAATTTTTTATTTAAAATCTGTATTAACATAACATCAGGATGTTGAACACCTCTGTCTCTTTTGATCATGGGTGCTGCAAAACACAAATGAAACGTTGGAGATACAAAAAATAAAATATAATTAAATACTATTCGACAAAATTCGTAAAAAAACCAAGGATACCACAGAGTCTAGATACTAGAGTAACTAGATACTGTATGTTCATTTTGCGTAGATTTAATCAAAAAAATTTATTTAAAATCTGTATTAACATAACATCAGGATGTTGAACACCTCTGTCTCTTTTGATCATGGGTGCTGTAAAGCACAAATGAAACGTTGGAGATATAAAAATTAAAATATTATTAAATAATATTCGACAGAATTCGTAAAAAAAGAAGTCTCATTTAATGACACTTTAATGTTGATATTTATGTTCCAAATAGAAACGTTATGACTACACATGCTTACCAAGTACTCTTGGTTGATACTCTTCTGGACAGTTCTCAAAATGCTTCATCACCATCCGCATAGGATGATCATCGATGGCGTGATGACACTCGTCGAAAATTAGAAGATTTATGTCCCTTATGTGTATGTATTTATGTGTGAGCATGTCACAGAGAATTTGACTAGTCATTACGATCACCTAGAACAAAATAATTAATATATTAATATTTATGACATTTAAGGATTTTTTCTTCCATACGAGGCTTTCAAAACCACGGTTGGCTATACATAGGGCTTTTCAACATGCCTTTTGATGAGGCATTAAATGCCATTTCTGCAACTTAGTTAACGGTTACTTTACAGAATCTTTTTTTATGCTTGCACATTTTATTGTTCTTCAGCATTGAATTGCGACATCCTTGTCGTATTACTAGCAATAACAGACATTATTGTTGATTTACCAATTGTAAAGATATGGCTTGATTAATTATAATTACTATTGGCTGTATAAAGAAGCTTAAGATATCGAAATACGCGGGTTATACTCGGTGTTTCTCTGTGTGATAGAATTTTTAATGATGTTACTGTTCTACCGCGGACAGTAGAACCAGAATAATAGACATAGCCCAACAGATCAGTAAGCCGAAGTGGCAATGGGTCGTACATACCATATCGGCTCCTACCGGTAAGCAAAATTTAAAGCAGCCCTCCACTTTTTTGGAGTAATGACCTGGTAAGACATGTAGGAAATCAATGGATGCAAGTGGCTCAGGACCGTGTTTTGTAGCATTTCATGGAGGAGGTCTATGTCCTGCAAGGAACTTGTGAAGGGCTGTTATGATGATGATGACGTCCATATTCAAAGCACTCTTGACGGGAATATGCGCTTCATCTAAAAATACCTTATACCTACACATATATATATATATATATATATATATATATATATATATATATATATATATATATTATATAAATATATATTAAATGGTTGTAGCACGAATGGGTCCGCTCGACCGGGGCAGGACCACGCTCTCACAGAATACCAGCGTAAAATAGCAGCTTAATACTGCTGTGTTTCGTATGGTGAGTGTAGAGATCCGGAGACCCCTTTTTACTGGAAACGAGGCATTCCATCTTAGTCCTCAGGGGTGACAACGCATCTACGTTTTGATTCTTAATCAAGGATAAATGTAGATGTCTATGGGCCACGGCATCCACCTACCATCAGTTGGACTGTGTGCTCGTTTGTCAACCTTATTCTATAAAAAAACCTAAATATTAAAAAAGAAGTTGATTTTGTCTTCACCTGATACTGCCTTAGCTCATTGTCCCACTTGTTTTTGTTCCAGAAGTCTACTCTATCCTCACCGCTATACCCAGCGACACCTTTTACGGGTGATAATTCGGAAATACATTTTTGCTGAAACAAAAGGAAAAATTATCTAAATTATTGCCTTGAATAATTTCAGCATCTATAGTCAAAGGCAGTAATACAATAGTGAAAATACGCATACGCTCTCGTTGTTAAAAACCTTTTATTTCAATATGGCCCTTGGTATGCTTAGGTAACAATAATTCCGCCAATGTACGGTCTTTGGTGTGTCGCATCTTGTCTTGAGGCTTCTCGGTGAGAAAAGAGTTACTTTAATAAAAATTACAAAGTTTTGCCAAAATACGACGTTTACACTTGACATTCGTTCGTTATCAAATACATTATACATTATATTGAAATAGAGATCCAGCGTTATACGCTAAGGGTAAGATTATTAACCCGGCGTCATTGAAGTTGGGTCAAAATGGCCCTGCGTGTTTTAATTTTATAATGCATATATTTTTGTAAGTACGCGTGCGACATTACCGTTCTTCTCAGTAGCTGGCGTCAACGATAATATGTTTTATTTCTATGGGTTTTTAAAAAGAAATCAGTCAGCGGACAGCCGTGCATAATTTTCTAAAAGGTAAATATGACCCATCCTCACAATTAACGTAACTTTCACGCTTTTTTTAACTTTCGATTTTTTATTAATAAATTTTGTTAGACAGTGATAATTTGAGTTACTTCTGCGTTTTATGTTAATGTTTGTTATAACCAATATTTTATTTCCTCTTTTAAGGTAACATGGATCGAGATAGTCAACTAATTTTGTCAATTCTTGAAGAATCTGACTCAGACGAAAACTTGTCTGATAACGATGACGCGGTGTGATGATGAAGATCACGTGAGTGTTTGTAGTCAGGCAAGCGATACGGAACAAGAGTGCTCAGTAAGTGATGACGATAATGTCCCACTGAGTGAAGTTAGAATGAAGTTAAAATCCAGCGCGTGTTCGCTGCAACAAGAGCCAGAAACATCTTTACGGCGTGAGGTACGTCTACAATATCTTGGTAAGGATGGGACAGTTTGGTTTAAAACACCTTTTCGGCGCAAGATGAGGACGAGGGCAGAAAATATAATTACAGTTGTCAGGTGTGACACGAGAAGCTAAGTGTGCTACTTCTAAGTTCTAATGCTGGGGCTTGTTCTTCAGTGATGGTATGTTGCAAAAAATTATGACTTACACAAATGCGTGTACATTGGACGCAAAATGGCGTCGTGTCAGGATCTGCCGAAGCACGCCTATATGAAGGAATGTAGTATGACATAACTCAAAGCTATTATTGGCCTATTATATATTGCCTTAGAGCGCTCAGAGAGACAAAATCTGACTGACTTATGGGCTTCCGATGACACTAGTGATGTCAACATAGTTTTCACTTCATACAAAGCTCACTCTGTTTTAATGATGAAACTACTTGTGAAGGAAGGAAGCAACTTGATAACTTGGCTTTGATAAGAGAACTCTTTGAAAATTTTGTTGTAAATTGCAAAACTGCTTACATCCCCGTGAATGTCTAACTATTGATGAAATGCTAATCGCTTTTAAAGGTCGTTGCAGATTTCGACAATATATACCATCAAAACCAGCTAAGTATGGTATAAAGATTAGATAAGAATAACTTTGGTAGATGCTAAAAATTACTATATTTTGAATCTATCTATATATCTCGGAAAGCAACCAACTGGTATATTTGCTGCCAGTAATAAACCTTTTGATATTGTAGATCGCATTGTGACACCTATTTCAAAATCAAACCGTAAAGTTACGTTTGATAACTGGTTTACCAGTTATGAACTTGTCCAGCATCAGCAAAAAGGATACCGGTTAACATCAGTTGGTACCTTGCGTAAGAATAAAAGACAAATTCCTCTATTCATTAGAACTCGTAACGCTAAAGTATTTTCATCTCGGTTTGATTTCCAGGACGTTACATCTCTTGTTTCTCATGTCCCAAAGAAAAATAAGTTTTACTGATGTCAAGTTTGCACCAATATTTTGTTTGTTGATAATAAAATTGATGATTCAACTGGAGAACAACGGAAACCCAAAATCAACACCTATTACAATACAACCAAATGTGGAGTGGATGTCGCCGATGAACTCTGCGCAACATATAACGTGAGCCGTAATTCCAAGAAATGGCCCCTTACCATATTTTATGCTATATAACGATTGAAATGACAATTGTACTTTTAATTAATTTCATTTAATTTGATATAAATTATTTATATATTGACTTACTAAAAATAATGATTTGATATATTATGTTGAATAATTTTCACGTCAGATATGGTAAACATATGGACTATGTACAACTATTTGTCAATGTCGTCTTTAATGTACCATGTTTATCGAATAAATAATATCATAAATTTTTTTGGTATTTATAGGTATAGTTAGTTTTGGTATTTATTGTAGTTTTAGTTATAGTTTTATAAATATATAAATGAAAATGATAAATATACATTCATATCAATAAAATAAATAAATAAATAAAATCCAACCAGATAGGACTAACAAAAATACTATTTAGTGCATGACGTCATGGGTTTCATTTATTTTGTGTAGGTAAGTTATCATTTACTGATCAAATAACTAAAGTAATTAATGTTCTCCTGATCGAAAGATGATGTAATAATATTTGTATTTTGTCTCCCATAGTTTCACCAAAACTCCTTAGTAATAAACTGAAAACACCGGCTAATCAAATTAAAATATCGTGTTTTCATACAACAATAGTGGTTAAATAACAAAACTTATTGATGAAAAGTGATCTTGGTGTTATTATACGGTTTTCTCACATAATTGCGACACAATTTAACAGCACAAACTGGCATAATTAATTATTTTTCGTGAGCAGGTGATAAGCGAGTCTACCAATTTTAGTAAACTTTATTTTTGGGCCGTTCTGTACGGACTATGTGGCATCTGGACAGGTATATAATCAAAGCCGGGAGGGTTGGGAACCCTAGCCCTTGCCACAGCATCCACTAACCATCAGGTGGGGTGTGTGCTAGTTTGTCACCAGTATTCTATAAAACAAGAAGTCTGTTTATACTATTTTTCAAATATTCTAACCATTTATTTGTGTGTCTATTACAATCTCTCACTAGAGGACGACAAATCAAAAATACATAAATAAATACAACACAGTAACAGCAGGTCTACTTCGGGTACAGCCTCTTTGTTTATAGAATGATTTCAGATAACAATGAACGATCCATTGTTTGGTGCAACAAATATTATGTGACTGTAAGCACATATGTGTGATGTGTGTCACGTTTTTAAAAATAGAACATAAGGAGCCATACTCAATGGAGTCAAAAGTGTCTCTCAAGGTATAGGTCTTAAAATTGAACATGGAAAAGACAAAGGTCATGCGTTACTTTATGAAGTTTAAGCAAAGAGCTATTACGGATTGATCACTCATTTTATGTGCCAAGAAGTCTAGCTATGTTCTTAAAGAAACTTCGTACCGTTACCTTTACAGCCTATTACAGTCCACTGCTGAACACAGATATAGACCATAGATATTGTCTCTTAGAGAGGATTATTACCATAGTTGCCACACTTGGCAAGCGAGTTGGCAACAGCAAGTTTTTTTATTTTAGTCATTATTAAGAAGACGCTGCTGCCCATCTCTTGATTTGTTTCCCTCTGTCGCCTCTTAAGACACCCACGAAATGATATGGGGTACCTAGTGTATTTTTTTATAGGATAGGGTGACAAACGAGCACACAGTCCACCTGATGGTAAGTGGTTGCTGCGGCCCATAGACATCTACATCTATCCTCAATTACAAATCAAAATGCAGATGGATTATATATGATCAAAGGCAGATGCGTTGTCACCCATGAGGACTAAGATGGAACGCATCATTTCCATTAAAAAGGGTCTCCGGTTCTTTACACTCACCACACGAAATACAGCAGCATTAAGCTACTATTTGACGCTGGTATTCTGTGAGAGCGTGGTCCTTCCCCGGTTGAACCGACCTGTTCATGCTACAACTATACTACTAATATAACTGCAGCATGGCTCTACCACGTAAAAAAAACGTTATTTAACCAAAAAGCCCAAGTTACATTATACTTCAATTATATCAAATACTAAACTAGTCGGTATTTGTAAAATGCACATTATGGACCTATTGATATATAAAATATATAAGGAACACATATTTATCTATTTATCATAGTATTTAGAGGGTAACTTTATATTTCTTATTACACATATCCGCTGTAGAACCAGAGTGACCGACATAGCCCAACGGATTAGTAAGCTGAAGTGGCAATGGGCAGGCCATATAGCTCGAAAAACCGACAACTGTTGGGGAAAAAAGGTTCTCGAGTGGCAGCCTCGTACGGTAGGCGAAGTGTAGGGCGACCCCCCACTAAATAGAGTGACGACCTGGTAAGACATGCAGGAAGTTGATGGATGCAGGTGGCTCAGGACCGTGCTTTGTGGCATACCTTGGGAGAGGCCTATGTTCAGCAGTGGACTTGTGAAGGGCTGTAATGATGATGATGATGATATCTGCAAATATTGGTTCATGGGGTTATTTGCATGCTACATACGCATGAATAAACATTTTTAGAATTTTTATCTGTCTATCTACCTGAGCTGGCTAATAAATGATAAAATGTTAAAAAACGTTTTTTACCAGACTGCCCAGAAGAAGGGTAATGTTTATGTATGTCTATATGCCATATCTTTGGCACACTATATCCTAAATGGCTAAATAGATTCTATCATATCAGGGGTTGTTAGATTTGTTTTAGTTGTGGAAGTGATATAGGGTATAAAAATTTTCTCTTTTCTGTTGTTTAAAATTGTTAAGAATTGTTATGAGGTGATCATAACATCAACCATTTATTTTATCAATTTTTGATTTTACAATAACAACTCTGTTTTATTTTTAGGGTAGAATTTAGTATAGATCACTCTGCCAAATCTCTCAATCAGTTCAGACAGACAAACATTTTAAAAATGGTTGCTTTGTATTAATGGCATGCAAATAGCTCTATTAGCATATTACAAGTAGGGATGGGCCGAATATGGGTTTCACCGAATACGAATATTCGGCCGAACGTACCGAGCTAATGCTGCAGTTACATTACAGTTGTAGCATGAATGTGTCAACTATAACAGCATGCAATTGCAGTTTGATGCTGTTGTGTTTTGTATGGTGAGTGCAGAGAACCAGATACCTTTTTTATTTTTACTGCAAACTATTCGTTCCTTCTTAGTCCCCAGGTATGACAACGCATTCTGCATTTTGATTCTTAATCAAAGATAGATGTAGATGTCTATGGCCTCAGAATCCACTTATCATCAGGTGAGTGCCCACTTACTACAAGAACCTTTACTCTATAATAGTTTTTTTATGGAATAAGGTTGACAAACGAGCACACAGTCCAACTGATGGTAGGTGGATGCCGTGGCCCATAGACATCTACATTTATCCTTGATTAAGAATCAAAACGCAGATGCGTTGTCACCCCTGAGGACTAAGATGGAATGCCTCGTTTCCAGTAAAAAAGGGTCTCTGGATCTCTACACTCACCATATAAAACAAAGCAGCAGTATTACGCTGGTATTCTGTTAGTGCGTGGTCCTTCCCCGGTCGAGCTGACCTATTCATACTACAACCATAATATAGCTGCAGCGTGGCTCTACTACATACAAAATATAATATAAAACACCGAATGTATACCCAAAATATATAGAACATTTGCAAATAATTTACTTAATTAATCAATTTGCATGAAATACATATTAAATCATATACAAAGAACTTTACCTGTTGTTTCACCAATGGTACTGTGTTGACCAAAAAGAATGTCCTCTTTGCACCTTGGCCCCATTCACCATTTAATGTCTTCCTAAATCTGGTTATCAACCGTATCCCTATAAATGTTTTCCCGGATCCTGAAAAAGAAAAGATAATTTTATAACCGACTGACAATGCAACAACTTGACATTTCATACAAAAACACGTGACTTACCAGTTGGTAGATATATTATAGTATTTTTCTTTATTGCAATTTCCTCAAGTTGCGTTTGATATGGTCTTGATTTCAGAATATTTTCTTCAAGTGTTTCTTCCTCCATTTTATTTTGAAACCTAAACAAAAAAAAAAGACCATTACTACCATTACCATTACAGTCCTCATAGGAGGGATATTTTGGTAAAACTAGACATTCGGTACTTGCGTACGGGGCGGGGGAGTGTGTGTTCATGGGACCCCTACCCTTCCCCTTGTGGAAAAGTACAGTTTATGAGTAATGATTTTTTACACAGGAATATTGACCCAAAGTTAATTCTGCAATGGCTTCACTGCAGGCACCCATACCTCCACAGCTTTGAATAATTTTCAGTCTCAGCCTCAACCGCTTCAACTCCCACAGGTGCCTGCGATTTTTGACAGCAGACAGGGGCTACTCTCCTTCTGCGGCTAAGGCTTTAAAAAAACACTCTAGGGTAGGGCAGACAAGATTAGGTGGAGTCTGTGCATGCTGATTCAGTTTAAGTACAGATTTAACCTCACTTATTTATAATGTCCAGTTGCCTTAAACTCTGATATGATAGCGGTAAATAAAACAGTGTAATGTGACTTGTTATAATTTTGTTTTCTGAAAGACCTCTTCAGAGAGCAGTCTCTCTGCTTCAACTCCATTTGTAGTGTACGAGTCCCATCTTCAGCCACAAATGAATTGTCTGGGTCCGATGATTAACTGTTTTATGGGTTTTGTTATATGCAATTTTTAAGTGTAAATTTATTTTGACTTCAAAACGCACTTTTTAAAACTCCAAAAATAGTATAAAAGGTTCAAGCTCAACCCTGACAAAACTCCTAAACTGAAAACATAATTCAAATCAAGTACCGGAAGCCTATTTTCTAATACTAAATAGACCAAATTGACATATTTGCCTTTGGTAATATGCAATTTTTAGTGAAATTTATTTCTATCATTATAAACTCAAAACACATCTCTGACACGCAAAAAGCAGTGTATAAGGTTCAAGTTAAACCCTGACAAGCCTTCTAAGCTGAAAACATAATTAAAATCAAGTACCGGATGCCCACAGCCAACCCTAAATTTGCTATAGTTGCCACAATTGGGAAGTGGATTGGCAACCGCAGTTATTTTATTTTCATTCACCTCTAATCAGGTAGATGTTGCTGCCCATCTCCTGGTACAGTTACCCCCCCCCCCAATTTGATGATTACATTCTTTTTTTTAATAATCCAGAATAATCCAAATGATTGACAACCATTTCAGCCTGTGACCTGATAAAATTATTTATTAATTAGTGTAACAAATATATGTTTTGATAGACTATTTTTTTAAAAATGTAAATGTAATATGAAATACACATAAAAATTGTGATAGTAGTTTCGACAAATTTATACTAATATTACAAAGCAGAAACATTTTGTATGTGAGTATGAGATAATCATAGAATTGCAACCATTCAAGACTAAGTTATTTTTATAGTTCAAAGCACATGAACTCTATATGAATTGCCAAATACACTATGAATTTAAATATATAAACTGTTAAAAGTAGTAATTATTTGTGTTTGATTGAAACTATACAATCTGCACTAACAATTGACAGGATCTGAGCGGGTTTCATAGATCACAGAGTACTGAAACTCAAAAAGATGGGAACAACCCAATTTGTATCACAAATCAACACTTGATAACCTTTTGACCTCATCGGCCATCAGTTCTTCAAGGTACTAAAGCTGTCCATATTCACTTCAGTATACTGATAGAAATGAATGATTCATAAATGTCTACTGTACCCCTACAGCCCTAGCCCTAGCCATAAATAGATGCCAGAGGTCTGTACCATGACACCTAAAGTAATAGACAAAGTAATAGACAAACAAAGTCAATTTCACAGTGAGGTAAAGACAATCTATTTACACAGTCCTGTAGCAGCTAAGTACTAGTTTCATAAAATATGGGTTGCTATGACAATATTCACACACTTATTTTAATTTTGTGATGTTGCCTAAAAGAAATGTCCAAAAATAACTAAATAAAATACTCTTCATGATACAGAGATACATTAAATGAAGAGTTATCATCCTACTAATAATATCATTGTGTTCAAATTTCTCGCATGATTTTAATTATTTTTGTAAATGGAAAAGAAGTTATTGTGACTAGAAGATATAGTATCAGAGAAGAATATACAATGTAACGTTAACTTATAAAGATATTGGCAAGAAGTTGAATTTATGAATTTTTATAGTTCTTTTATTTTATAGTTCTTTATATTATAGTTAACACAGCACACTTCAATGATAGAAATTTTATAGGTGAAATTTTAGCACTATATCCATAGTGCTAAAATTTTAAAACTATATTTTTGGGATAGATTAAAAATTTTCTATTTTTAAAAGAAATATAGCATATGTCCTATTTTCATTTGTAATCTATAATATTGCTAAGTTTTTTCTAAATTCATAGAGTAGTTTGTGCTTAAGAACCACAAACATACAAACATGTAACAATCTTGCAGGTTTATAATATAAGAATGAAAGTATGAATAGTTTGAATATGAATATGATACAATGCTTTTAAAACATTAACTAAAAACACAAAAAGGGACACCTGCAGAAGGTTTTCTTCCCTTAGGCCACTTAGTTACTATATCTTGAGATAATAAAAATACAGGTAGGATTCTGGCTTAAATGACACAATAAAGTTATTAGAAAGTATAAAGGATTAGCTTCACTATTCAAATGAAATATATAAGCATAACAAGGTTGCGTTAATAGTTTAGTAGTAAAAAATATATGATTCAATAAATTAATAAAAACAGATAGTAATTTCCGTCTTATCAAATCACATCTTTGTGTTAAATAAATTTTTAATAATTCTTGATATATATTGTAAGCTAAAATTTCAAAAGTTAGATTTTAATAACAATACTAATCTTTATACTTTCATCTGTACCTGGAATAATTATAGGACACCGCACAAGGACGACTTCGATTTATAGTGAAAATTAAAAACGCCCATCAAAAAGCAATAACCTAAGCCGAAAAAATTATATTAAGTTCAGTGGGTATTATCAATTTGTAACAGCACTTTAAATATTTCCTACTTACCACTACTTACAACAAAACCAAACAAAATTACGAGGCAGAGGCACTTTATTTATACGGTTGAAAATTTTCCGTTTATATTATTGCACCTACTTCTGTACATAATATTACAAATTATGAACTGTTTTTAAATTCTAAATCCAAAGTATGTATTTATAATTTATATATAACGCGTAGAGGGGGTGGGCGCACTGTGAGAATGACAATCAGTGATACAAGATTATAACTTTCAGTTTCCCATTTTGAGTTTATCAATTTGAATGGTTTTAAATATATTTATATTTTTTTTACACAATTTGTCAAATTTTCAAAATATTCATCTTATTACCTTCTCATCAAATTCTCGTACTGAACATCTTATTACCTTCTCATCAAATTCTCGTATTGGACCTCTCTCCTGTTAACATAGGTAAGCTAATATAACCAGGAGTGTGTTATAGCCCCTCTACACGATGGGCCATCGCGATGGCCCACTATAATAGGCCAGCGTGTGGAGGGTGTAGTTGTGTCGGAAGGCTTAAGGCGCGTGCGATGGTCTTGGGGATGGCGACGGTGTCGGTTTTTTCATCGTACGTCAAAGGTAGTGGGCCAGCGATGGCGGTACGCATCTACACGTGACCCATTCCAGAGATTTGAGCGCACGACGGTTGAATGTGGATGTCACACGATGGGTACGTAAAAAGTCGAATATATGGCCTCATAATGAATTTATAAAATTTTAATCATAGAGCTACTAAAATCACAATATATACATAATTTGTTCTTTATTTATTTTGAATAATTCATTAATAATTATTTATTGAATCATTAATTATAATTAATTAATTATTTGTGTTTAAAGAAAACTAAATTGACTAAGGACATATTTAGTTCTATAGCGATGGATAGATAACATCCACCACCTTCTTCTGCGCCATTTCTTTTTGATAACTCTATTCTTGTGCTCATTAAGAAAATAACAGTACGTGTTGTATAGATATATTGCAGCAGCGGCTAATTCATCCATGTCCATCACGAAAAACGTTTCGATCACAACTGAATGTAGCCATCGTGTAGTTGCGTTTCAACCATCGCATGGCCATCTCACTGGGCCAGCGCTTGCCTATCGTGTAGAGGAGCTATCAAGGAGGATTTGCCTCATTTGCCTCAAACCTTAATAGTCACATTTGGTAGGTGGATTAAGTATGCCAGGCATCCCGCACCTTTAAAGACCTGTTGCCAGTCTGGATATTTTACATCAAAAATAAACAAAAAGGTAAAACTGTCATTTATCGGAAGTAATAGTATGTTTCTAGCATTTCTTATAGTCGCCTACTTCGACACCAACGAGACAACACAGGGTGATGGACACTCTTATGCTACCACCAAAAATCATTTCGTAAAGAATGTAAGATCTAACGACACCTCATAATTTAAAATTTATCGACTCTTAAAAGCTTTAAGGGGTAAAAACAAACGGAAGAGATGCATACATAGAAACACACATGTACCCAGAAAATATTATAAAGTTAAAAAATATTATTTTGTTAAAAATTCTTTACTATCCTTCGTTAACAAATGTAGTCATTACGTAGGTACACTTTTGTTAGCAATTACCCCATAATTTGGTATTCATGGTCAGGTGTTAAACATTGTTTTTGACATTTCAGTACGTTCTGATTTATGTTAGTACAACTCAAAAATAATATTTAATGTAATATGCGTTATGTATCCCAATTTTCACTAACAATGTGTATAATTAAGCTTTAAGTTAATTGGAAATGTTTCATGTCATATTTATTTAAAAAAATATCTTTAGACTGTATTTTAACTACATCTGAATTTTACACACATGCGTGAAATGAACATAGACTGTGAGAAATGGTTCTTCCCAGAACACAGTCATCAGAAATCCATAAAGTAAAAACTAGAATACGTGGCGCTTCCACATTTGTTGTCTTTTCATAAGCTGGTAGAAAAGCAAATACTAAAACGCCACGTACAC